CAATGTGTCTCCAGTGTTGTCCCCTGTAGGGCTATGGGTCAATGAGGGATGTCGTGTCTCATAGTGGGGCGGGCCATATGGTCCTCTCTGTGAATTGGCTGCTCTGAATGGGAATATCAGCCTCAAGGTTTGGTGGGCCAGGATGTGCTCCACTCTCTCTTCCTCCCCCTTCATTTTCTCCCGTGTGCTCTGATCAGACATGTCCCTCTCCCTGAGCTGCAGCTTCAGTGCTGTCCTCTGAAATAAATTCTTCTGGGGGGAGGGGCAGATGTCCACGTAGTTGGGATTGGGGCCGGCCCCTCAGACCTCTCCACTGTATACCTTCTTTTTTTAAAATATTGGTTGCCAGTTATTTTCTCCAGTAGACTAAACATTATCAGCTCCTTCAATATTTCTCCTTATGGCATAATTTCTAGGCCCTTCTCTATCGTCATTTGTGGTGGATACATAATAGTTTGTCAATTTGAGGATTAAGAGTGTAGGGGTGGAGTCTAGCTTGTCAATCAGATCATAGCCAATGAGACCTCTGTGTGGGCATGGCCTTCTCCTGAGAATTCTGGGAAATCCTGATTTTCTTCCTTGGAGGCGGGAGACACTTCTCTCTCTTTGCCACTCCCTGTAAGACATTGCAGCTGACAAGACACATGGAACTAGCCTAGTGCCCTGAGCTGGACAAGCCACATGGACCTACCCTGATTCATCCAAGCCTCTGAAGCCAGAGAAGCCATGTAGAGACCCCTGCTAGTGCTGAGATGCTTACAACGCCACCACTGAATCCAAAGACTTTCTACCCACTGGCCTGTGATCATCCTGCATTGGGCATCATTGCATGTGTTCCATGAGTCCAAAGAGGACATTATAGATTAGTATCAGACCTATGGGCTAGTATCGGACTTATGGACTTGGACTGGATTGGGTTGGGGGATGCTTTCTCCATTCTTCTTGTATATAAAACTCTTTCTTATACATATGCGTGTTTATGAATTTGTTTCTCTAGTCTACCCAGACTAACACATCATTGCTCACGTATTCTTTTGGATGTGTTCTGTTTTGTCAATGTTATTGATTCAACAAGAAAAATATTTGCAGAGTGAACCTACTGTTTCTCGGTGTCTTATCCAGCTGGAGACCTCTGTACTACTGGAACGAACAAGGCAGGCAGGGCACTTGCTGTTTATGGAGCAGGTGATGGAGATGGGCAGAGATGGCCTTGGCAGGAGAGAAAGCTGGTGCTTTGGTGAAGTCAACGCACACAGCCTGGCCGCAGACAAGCTCTTTCCTGTATTAGGAGGGTGAAGCCCCCATGGACTCCTACGCCTCCATGTTTATCGTGGTTCCATTTTGAATTTGTGCCTCACTTCTCCTCTTCGAATTCTAGTTTCTGGCCAGCAGGAAAGTTGGTGTTTCATTCAAAATATTTGGAAGAAGGTCTAGTTGACTGAAAACTGGTCGGATGTGCTGAGCTTTTCGAATCCTGGTGCTCAGACTGCAAGGATCTCAATGTCACCGCATTACAACTAATCATAACTTTAGATGATCTGGTAACTAATTATACACTTACACAAGCTACTGTAGGCAAGTGAAGGATCCAGATGGTGAGAAATTGCCCCATATTATATAGCAAGTCAATGGCAGAGCCAGGACTAGAACCCATACCACTCCTCTCTATCATCCTGCTTCTTTTCCGTTCGTTTACTCCATTCCTTTACCACACATTACAAAACTAAAATGAAGAAATCAACAGTGCTAGTACTGAAGCATCCAAGTCAGAATGCGGCAGAACCTGAATTTTGCAATTGCTTTGGAAGTACTGGGGAAAGAGAGCTCTTTGCTCATTTCATTTGACACAACTCTGGGGTGAAGCAAGTTCTCATTGTGTTTGGAGGGTTCAACTATGGATCTTCTGCTCTGAGTCTAAACCTTATAGTACGTAAATCATTGCAATGGATGGTTTATGATAATGTCAATAGATGTACAGAAATCCAGTCAGTGTCAGTACAGACAGCCAGGGACTTCGACCTGAAGCACTGGATGAAATCATTCTATTGAAGGGAGGCTGTGAAAGAGCTCTTTCCTGAATCTGGTCACTGAATAAAAGACTCATAATGTCAACCGTTCTGAGTTAAATCTTTCATTTCCCACCAATTTAGAACCACAAAATTGAACATTTCATGGGACCCCAGAGATAACCTAATTCAATAAAATTCAGACCCAGAAAGGACATGATTTACAAAATTTACAAAACAACCTCAGGGGGGTCCCTGGTCATCATGTGCTCTTCTGCATGCATGGTGCTGATTTCCTGCATGTTGGGTCTTTGTTCAATTGGTTTTCGGAACAGGGAGTCCAGTGTTTACATAGAGCATTCAACACTACTTTACCATAAGATTGAAGCAATGCTCCTTTGTTAAATGAGAGGGAAAGGGAGTAGCCTGAATATTTTCTTGAAAGTCTACTACTCATTAGAATGAAGGCCAGCAAAAATAAAGTTGATGGACTTGACAAATAAGCAAACATAGGAAAGAGTGGTTGCTTCTACCCATTTGATCGGAAATGGTGCCAACATTTGAAATGCTCCATCGGAAGTAGATTCTTGTGCACTGTTCTGAGCTGTACTGCAAGAGGGAATCTGATACTAGGATTCCACATAGTAGCTAGTGGGGAAAGGTTGTGTATATATAAAACCTCCTGGAGCAGCTGAATTTTAAGATTCTAACACATCAGTAGGACAAAATTCATCAAAGTTACTGAAGATGCTATTGAGAGTGGCAGAATCTCGGGTGCCTCAGATAATCCCAAACTGAGCCAGCTCGTGTAATTCCAGGTGGCTGAAAGCTTCCCAGGGACAAATCACTGTGATATCTGCAAGAGAGGGAAGACAACCATGTAAGGCAACTCATCCCCGGACGAGCCTAATCTGCTCATGAAGGCATCCTCAGGGCTTCCTACTCTGTCCTGTTCATTGCCCCGTGACTGATCAGTTATCTACAAGGGTTGATAGCCCAGGAAAGATCAAGTGATTATGCCTTTATCTTTCTGTGTGGTTCTGATCCCCCAGAACAGAGTTCCCCAGACTTACTCTTTTTGTATCCGTAAGCATCTTTGCTGGGGAGATGGGATTTCTTTGCTCAATTGGTTCTCAGAACAGCTTTTGACAGGCATTATCATGTGCGGTTACAGCTCAGTGATGATGCAGAGTCTCTCTTCCCAAAACATAGCCACTGAGAGGGAATTATAGCCAGGCCAAGGGTTAAAGGAAAAGTAGAAGCTCTACAAATTCAGGTGATCTGTAAATCTACTGTCTCTTAAGGTAACCTTATACCCAATCTAGATGGGTTCTTAAACTTCTTTGACTTGCTCAAAGTTGCTTTCTATTTTGAAACATCAAAATGAATGAGAGCCCTATGGGTCTAGTGGGGACACATTGAGCTGCTAAGCACAAGGTCAGCATTTTGAAACCATTGTTCCACAGGCAAAAAGAAGAAGCTTTCTACTAACGAGTTAGACTTGGAAATCCTCCAGGGGTAGTTCTGTCCTGTCCTAGAGGGTCACTACGGGTCAGAATCAACTTGATGGCAGTGAATGAGAGTGATATCAAAGTGGTAGTGCTGTCAGGTAAGCAATTACTGCTACCACAAGATCAGTGGTTAGCAAACTCACTGGTGGTTCTGAGGGAGAAAGGTGAGACTATTGCTCCCATAAAGATTTATAGTCTTGTAAACCTCATACAGGGTCACTGTGAGTCCGAACGGACAAGATGGCAATGGGTGTATCAAAGTGCATACTTAGAGGCAATCTAAGGGCTTCATTTAATGGAGCCACTTCATGCAATATTATTATTACCAAGTTACCAAGAATCTCTCTAACACCTAAGAATTTTAAACAAACCCATTGTCATTGCCTTGTCCATACCAAATTATAGAGACCATCTAGAAGGGCGTAGAAGGTAGAAAGATCGGTCTCCTAGGGTGTCCAAGATTTACAGGAACAGATTACCACATTTTCCTCCTACATAGCAAACTTCCAGTTAACAGTCAATTGCTTAACCAATGTCCAACAGAGCTCCCACAGAGAGGTTAAACAAATAAGCTAAAAACCCTACCATGGTAGAGAAGGAAGTAGAAGCCTGGTTGAAAGGCCTCACCCCCTTCCCTCGGTGTAAACCTCCTCACTATTCCAAATGCGCTGGCAGAGTTAAGTTTATCTTTCAGAGCTTAAAGTGAATTTGCTGGTCTTGTACATGCCTGGTCAAAATATAGAAGCAGTTTATTTAGAAGAATAGCAAGTGAGTTTAAAAGGGGGTTAAAACAAATTGAAGGCCTAGGAATGGCATTTGGTTTCAAAATTCAAATACACTGAGAATCTCCTAGTGAGAACATTGATTACATTGAGAGGCGCCATGCTGATGCGCTGGCTGCTTCTGAGTGCTGAGGGTTCTGTAAACAAGTAAAATGAAGAAGGTGCCTCAAGAGGGTCTTGCCTAGTAGCAAAGGAAGGTCCCCACAGCCCATCGCTATTTCTTAAAGCTCACTCTTGTGGCCTTAGGTTGCCTCTTTAATTCCTCTATGTCTCAGATTTCTCTTGTGAAAAAAAATAAAGAAATTGGGCTAGACTGACTCTGAGAACCTTTCTATCATAAAGACTCACTCTTATAGGCCCTCCCAAAGTATATACCAAATCAAGGCCAATTCGTTCAATGTTGAGCCTCAGTTCCTATAGGACAGGGTAGAACTACCCCTGTGGGTTCCTGAGACTGTGACCCTTTGTGGGGGGCAGAATGCCTCATCTTTCTCCTTTGAAGCATCTGGTGGTTTTGAACTACTGACCTTGGGCTTATCTGCCCAACTCGTAATCACTATGGTACCAGGGGTCTATAATATATTTTTTTCCCTTTTTTAAGATTCTGTTTTAAAGAGTCTTTGCATGTAGACACACACTTACTTAAGAGGCTGAATTGAACCCCTGCATTTTTATATTCTCAAAGAATCTGCTGCATTAAGTTTCTTTTTTACTTCCAAATGCCAGTTGAGGCTCAAATGATTAAAAAAGGCAGACTTTCCCAGAAGAAAAAAAAGGCCTCACTTGAACCCATGAGTGACTCACCTGTTCCTAGCCCCTCCATGCCTGGAATGTCATCTCCAAACCTGTGAACGATGAAGGAAGGAAGAAAGGAAGGAAGGAAGGAAGGAAGGGAGGGAGGGAGGGAGGAGGAGGGAGGGAGGGGGAAGGAAGGAGGGAGGGAGGAAGGAAGGAAGAAAGAAAGAAGTGATTAAAGAGCAGGGATATTAGCTAGATCAGAACACAAAGGACCCTGGACTGATTCATTTGGTGAATTTCCTGATTGAGGAGGAAGGAAGAAGAAGACAGGGTTTGAGTTTTCATGTCACCCACACTCTCGTGTTTTGCATTTTGCCTTGGGCTGGGACAAAGATAATGGCCTTCAGGAGTTTTCACACGAAGTGCTTCACCGGAGGGGTCTGTGTCCCCTGTGAGACAAGAAGAACTATTAACTGCACAAGGTAGTCCATCTTCATTATTTAAAATAGACATTAGACCGAGGGAGGACTGTGAAAAGCACTAGATGGTTAAGTATTCAATTAACCCACTTATCCAAAAGCATTTACTAAACACCTACTGTGTGCCAGGCATTATGTTTGGCACAGAGATGTAAAGGAAAAATAAAGAGTGTTTTCTAGAAGGAATGTGCGCTAAGAGGAATGGTCAAGAAAGGCTGGCAGACCAGGCCCGAGTCAGATGAGCGTGTGAAGGGCTTCAGTTCCATTTGGCCATAGATCAAGGAGCTGAGACCAGATGCAGCAAAGACTGAGTTAGAGAAGAAAATAGAGGGCAAGGTGATATTTTTAAAGGTCTGTGCAATGCTGCGAGTAGTAACTTCTTTCATACCGTAGAAGCCCGGTTGGGAGTTGGAAGGCGGCCCTTAGAAAGTCTCCCTTTTCATCTCAGCCTTACCCTTTCACCCCTTTCTTAGGGGGTTTGCTTTTGAATTGGCGGGTCTGCCGCTGCTTGAACTTTGGGGGGCCCTGGCGTGGTGTGGCAGGACCCTGGCTGGACGCTGGAGGAGCTAAAGCTCTGCGGTCACTCATTCTGGCCCCTTGGGTGGCTGGCGTTTTCCTTCCAAGTACCTAAGGCAGCAAATGAGAGAAAGAAAATGATGAGACTTGTTAAGGGAAAGGGACCAACATATATTAAAACTTCACTGTAAACCAAAAAAGAAAAGTATTTTGCTATGCACACTTGGTATTTTTATTGGCACAACAAAGAGAGAAGTTATTTTTAGGGGAATGTTTAAGGGAAAATATGCTATAAATCAATGGTGGCTCTCAGTACAAAACAAATTCACTGCCATGAAGTTGATGCCAAGTCATAGTGACCCTAGAGGACTGGAGAGAATTGTCCCTCTGAGTTTCTGAGACTATCACTCTTTATAGGGTTAGAAAGCCTTGTTTTTCGCCCTCGGTACTGCTGGTGGTTTTGAACTGCTAACCCTGCAGTAAGCAACCCAACTCATAACCCCTATGAATTCCTCGACACTCAGCATAGTGGAGTGTGAACTGACAATTTATGAAAACTTAGCAAGATCCAGGTAGATTGATTGCTCCAATAAGCCTTTCACTAACTTTCTATGTACATTTATTTTCACCATGTACTTCCCCTCTTGACCACCAGTTTCCTCATCTGTGAAGAGAGGGAAATGGTGTCTTCTGTCTTTGACAACTCTCCTATGTGCTTGAGGAGCCCTGCTGGCAGAGTGGCTTTGTGTTGGGCAGAAAGCAGGAAGGTCAGCAGTTTGAAACCACCAGCAGTTCCCAGAGAGAGAGACAAGACTTTCTGTTCCCGTAGAGTCCGTCTCGGAATCCTCCGGACACTTCGACCCTGTCCGACAGGGTCGCTGTGCGTCAGAACTGACCCATTGGCAGTGAGTCTGGCTTGGCTTTCCTATATCCTTTAACTAGTTGCTGTCCTGTCAACTCCACGCAGGGTGCTCCCTAGCGTTTTCAATAGCTGCTTGTTCTGAAGTAGGCTTGGCAGCCCCCCTTCCAAATTGCCTCTGGGTAGACTTGAACTTCCAACCCTTTGGTTAGCAGCTGAGCACATTAACCATTTGCACCACGCAGGGACTTTGATATGTCCTTTAAGTTTTACATAGTTTTTTATCCAGCTGCAAAAATAACCTAATTCTAAATGTTTATTGAACATTTTTTTTAATTTAAATTAGAAAAGTGTTTTTATTGTAAATTAGAAAAGGGGTTATGGATCATCAACTTTGTATTCAATAGTTTAAATTACTAATAAACACCTCTGAAAACTCACCCTTCGCTTGATCCTTGATTACTCTTCTCCCTCTTGGGGGTTACTCTCATTCCTTACACCAAAGTGAACACCCATCCCCTATCTAATGCTTTTTCTTCCTTCTGTGCCCTTAGGCGCTTGGATAGTCAATGCATTTTATGGGTTCAGTTCTTCATGTTAAAAGCATTGCTGTCAAATCGACTTCAACTCATCGAGACCCTGTAGGGAAGAACAGAACTAACTGCCAGTGGAGAAGGTTTTCAACGCTGCCTTCTGTAGAAAAGCAGACTGCCACATCCGTCTACGTCAGTGCTACTGGGGAGTTTGAATGATTACCCTTTTGCATTGCTATGGCGCACTCCACAACCGTGTCACCAATTCTTTACAGACATTGTTTCATTTCACCGTCATAGAATCAGGAAACTTCTTTCCGAGGTCTTAAGCATGACAGTGCCATAGTCGGGCCAAGGGAAGCTCTGAACCCGGATATGAGCACACATGGTTGCACTCAATATTCAAGACACACCCATTCAAAAGGGAAGGCTGCTGCAGGGGGATTAAAGGCCAAGTTTGCATTTTTAACAACCCACACATGGATTTCTTTAGCCTCACATTTCTTAGGATTTTCCATTGTTTTCTCTTGTCCAGATTATCCAGTGTCTTCTGTCCGTAATTTCAACCTGGCTGCAAAATGTGCAGTGTTATTTTTCAAGTACAAATCCAAGAAAATTATTTTTGAAATATATTTTAAATGAATTTGATAATATAACAAATAGTAATTTTTCTTACTCCTTTTTAATCACTGAAAATACTAACCCAGGGAAGGATGATTCTGAAAAGCCCCCAAATAATCCCTCCCATAATCTACTTTGTGGTAGCTTTGTGTTGGTTCCCTTATTTCACCTATTACAGATGTACACTAATAGTCTTAGCTTCAGTCTTCCCTGGTAATCTTTGGCCTATGCTAGCAGCCTCTCTTTTTCCCTACCCCACTCCAGGTTCCTCAAATCTCATGGGTGTAACTTCTCATAATCAACATGTTGTTCTTTCAGAATCAGGTTTAAATTGCTGTGTCTTCAACAAAAACAAATTCCCATTGCTGTTCTCTCTCTCTCTCTCTCTCTCTCTCTCTCTCTCTCTCTACTATTATAGTTCTCTCCTGCCAGTATTCTCTTCTTCAGTAAGAAGATACGCACTAATATGGTAGCTGGGACCGGACCTGGCCAAGCTCCGGAGAAGTACTCACACTGTGGAGCTCATCTTTCCCACTGCACTGTGCCTCATAGGACCACTTGTTTTCTGTTATTTTGTTTGTTTCTGAGGCTCTGAACCTAAAATAATACACAGAACATGAAAAACCAAATCAAACCCATTGCCATCAAGTCAATTACAACCCACTTGGGACCTTTTCTGGGGCCATGGTTTTCAAGACTGTAAATCTTTACTTTTTCTTGGATGATTAAACCTGAGAATACCGATGAGCCACTTAATAAAAGAAACATTGGAGCTTTTGTTGTATTAAACTCTAATCAGGTTTTTCTGCCCCACCTCCCCTCTGGAACTTAAAGTATAATGTGACAACAAAAGCTAGTTTTGTTGTAAATTGTAGTCTGAACACAGAAAATGCCACTTTCCTGTCCTTAATGATAGATCCTGTTTGTGTATAACATTCTAAAATGACGACATTTCATGTAACCCAAATTACCTCCAAGTTTTCATGACAGGAAGATTTTCAATATTTCTATCATATATATTCATGTTCCAAATGCAAACCAGTGTTGCCCATTTTGAAACTCTGATAACTTTCTGTACTTAATTGGTTTGCCAAGTATACCAATATAATGAAACTGCTTAAATTTTAAAAGCCACTGATGAAATTTCATAAATAAATGTCTATCGGGATTATAAAAAAAAAAAGAGAGAGAGAGCAGAAGTCTGTGTCTTCCTCTCATAGGGCCACCGGTGGTTTGAACCACCAACCTTGTGGCTAGCAGCCCAATGCTTATCCCGCAACACCGTCAGAGCTTCTTAGGATTTGCTACGTTTGCCATATGTATTTGTTGAACATCAAAAATGGACAAACAGATGAACCCTGAACCTGGAGCCTTCAGATCCTGGTCTGGTGATTTCTCTATCAAACTTACAGAGCGGGCAGCTGGTCTTCACCTCGCAAAGTCCTCAGTGGCTTTAGGAAACGAGCCACCAGCTCCTCTGCTCACTGAATCCAATTCTTGTTCTCGTGGCCCCTCTCCAGCCCTGATCAACAGGCAAGGTTTGTGTCCACTCCCCAGTGTGGTTGGGACTGCGTGGATAGGTGGGGGAAAGTCAATAGCCACACGTTGCCACCATGCACTGCCACTAACTGATACATCGCAGCTTTGCCAGAGCCCAGGCAAGAGTAGAGTATTTCTCTCAGATCCAATTTTTCAACTACTCAGTCCTGTCAAAATAAGAAGAAACCACAAACTTTGCCTTTTTCTGGAAAGCTAGGCTTAGGATTCCCAGATTTGGCATCTAAGTATTTCTAGTTAAATGTGAATGTCAGATAAAGTCAAATACTTCTTCCTACTAAACAACAAATAAAATTTAATATAACACAAGTATAGAGCTATACTACATAATGTATTTATTTGCTATTCAAATTTTACAGGGCCTCTCCTATTTCTCTTTCCAAACTAAGCTAGGATCTTACTATGTTTGGTCTACAATTCCATCATAAGTACCAAAAGTTGACCCTAGTCAGTCAAAGTACTTTGTGGGGACAAGCCATTGTAACAAGTATGCTCCTTAGAATATGATAGACTCGCTTTCAAACTCTTGCTTCCCCACATTGACTAGGTCAGTGGTGCTCAACCTTCCTCGTGCCATGACCATTTAATACAGTTCCTCATGTTGTGGTGGCCCACAACCATAAAATTACTCTTGTTGCTACTTCACAACTGTCATTTCGCTACTGTTATGACTTGGGTGACCTCTGTGAAAGGGTTGTTTGACCCCCAAAGGGGTCGAGACCCCCAAAGGGGTCGAGACCCACAGGTTGAGAACTTCTGGGCTAGGGGACCTTGCTTAAATTGCTTAACCTCCCTAGTCCTCATTTCATCTATAAAATGAATCTAAATAACATCATCCTTTCAGGGCTGAGGAAGATTAAATGAGACAATATACATAAGTCCAGTGTCTGGTGCAAAGTGATTTCAAAACCAGTAACTGTATCCTCAATCTTCTGAAGTCAGGGAAGCCAAGTGACCAGGTCTATAGCTGAGACACATATTGACCTGGACTGCCATCCTCCTTCCTCTGGGCAAACTGCTGGAGAGCCCTTGCTGTGAGTCAGGGACATGACTGTCACAGACAGAGCCAAGTTGCTCTGCTGCCCTCCATTTATCCTGCTTCTGTTTTCAACTGTTCTGAGTCTTCTTTTAGGTTCCTTTGACACCACTAACAGAAACCCTAAAGAATTACAAATCCCATTTGTCATCCATATTTCCCTGATTATACTTCCTTTTGTTTGCAAGCTTCCTCTGCATGTTTAGATCATTGAAGGGTTGCATGCCCAGACTTGAACAGAGTTCAAATCTAATGATTAGTATGATCCACTATGCAAAGAACATTTCACTATACAAAGAACATTTACATTTCACCAAGTGGTCTCTAGACACAATTGGCCCTCAGGATTTGCTGCCTGGGCAGTAATTGTGTACCCAAAACTATGGACCAATCGCTGTACTGTTTCTATCATAGATTTGGCAGTTCTCTCTGCCATATCTTCAAGGGAAGCAGAATGCATATGGTC